TGGTAGGTATGACTCGATTGCAGTTTGTACGCAGACCTTACTGAAAAAATTCACCTTCGGTCTGAATGCCAAGCTGCCCTTAGTTCTTATAGTCTCTATTATTAGCTCCCGTGGCTAGCAACGCTCGCAACAGAAGATGAGATCTTGTGACCGAATCCAAGCGAGCGCTTTACCTTTTTGTGGATTTTAGCGCTACAGGGCCGAAGCTGGTATACAGTGGCCTGCTCGCGGCACCTCTAATGGGCCAGCCCAGTTGCGCCTGTGCTTGTTCGTCGCGGCTCTGTTTGATGCAAAATGCGTCAAATAGGAGGTCCCGATCAACATGGCTAATTTGATTTAATCTCGATCAGCTACGTCATAGAGGCCCACATGTTCTTTTGTTGGTGAGGAAGAGTCTTCTTTCGTGGCAATAGTTCAAATGATGGATTTTTTATAGAACTAGTTCAAATGATGGATGTGTGCTGTATTTCGCATAGCATAGATACATTCATAGTGATTGACTAGTATCCAAAAGCACCTGCTGGAGGTAAAACTGGGCCAAGTGCAAACATTTTTTTAAATACATTTTTTCCAAATTTGCAAACATTTTTTGACAACACGATTATATTTCCAAATTTACAATTCTTTTTTGAAAAACTATAATATATTTTGTGTTTTATAAGGTTATAAAAAGAAATAGAAAAATAAAAGTAAAACCGAAATAAAACAACCCAAAAAAATGAAAAAAGGTCAAAACCTTCTAGAAAGTTTCCTACCAATCAGGACGGATCCCCAAACCAGATCTACTTTTGTGAAAATAGAATCTGTCGCTTAAAATGGCATGGGAATTTATTTTTGCATCAAAATTATGGAGCTCTATTAATCAACTATAATCCAATTACAATATGCGAGTAGAGTTTTTCTTTTGAGAACAAAAGGAAAGTCCAAACATTTTTACAATTTTTTTGTTTAAGTATGAACACTTTTATATAGCCGTGAACATTGTTTGACAACACAATAATTTTTTATAACTGTAAACATTTTCAAAAATATTGAACAGTTTTTGCAATTCCAAAGATTTTTTAAGTGCATTTTTTGCTTTTAGAATATAAAAAGAAAGGGAAAATAGAAAACCTGAAATAAACCTTAGAAAAATGAAAAAAATCAAGAACATTCTAAACAATTTCAAAAGGTTAGGACGGTTCCCAAAATCGGAAGTTGTAGTAGGTTCGCCATCTAATATGGGTCAGCCCATTTACATCATTGGTCTCCCTCGTCTGCGCCGAACGACAACTATTTGATGCTTAAAGTGTCAAATAAGAATCACCATGATGCGCCGCCTTCTGCCTTCGCTGCCGGAGAATACCCAGCTACTTTGCCTCATGTGCCTGTTGTGTATGGAGGCAACATTCCAGATGAGGATCTGCCGCTCCCGGTGGTGGGGCGACAGAGAAGAACCCGGGCAGCCGCTCCACGAGGCGACAAGCCGGTGGATGGCGTAGCCACTGCAACATAGAAAACGGATGCTTGGGAGAATTTAGCCCTAAATAAAAGTTATACTTTTCTGAAAATAAAGAGGTTTAATTAATTTATTTCATGGTTTGTGAATTTATTGTTGCATCAAAATAGGGGAGCTTTATTAATCAACTATAATTCAATTACGATATGCGAGTAGAATTTCATTTTCAAAACAAAGAAATAAAAGTGTTGCTTGCTTCAGGGACGCTTGTAGTTTCACTCAATTTGATGGGCCGCTTCCAGTAAGGCGCATGGGGCTCAATTTCATGGGCCGCCGCAGTAGAAACCTATTATCTCTCTCAAAAGAAATAAAAAAAATCACACGACAGAGAGCAGAGAGCTCCATACATCGAGAGCAGATCGGCAGCCGCGCCGCCGGCCGGCCATGGAGCTTGGCCGCCGCCTCAAGATCGATCTCCAGCCGTCCGGCCGGGATCCCGTTCCATTGCGCCACGGCGGAGTGGCCGGACGGGGGAGCTCTGTGGTGGCGCCGGCGACCGGGCCGGTAGGAGGCAAAAGCATATCTTGGCATCAATTAAAAATTCAGTCCAGATCCAATTCGATGCCTTGCTTTGTCAATTAAAGGAAAAGAAGCTGCATGGAGGCAGGCTATTTGTGGTTTATATCCTTCAGTTGCAGTGTTTTTGGCCAAATTCGATTGTAGCAGCTGTTAGTGTTAAGCGTGCTCTTGATATGTCATCATAATGTGTCTGCTGTCGCTATTTGGAGAAGAACAGAGATAACAGTACATGTAGAGTGTTTGTGACAGTTCATCTAATGTGTCTGCTGTCGCTTTTGACAATGCGCACCGCTGTCCCGCTTAATTTATTTTCACTTTCTTCCTGGTGCACAACTTGATTGAGTTGAATGTCCTCCTGACCTCAAGGAGCACGAGGACATCCAATCCATCTCAAAGGTTGGTGAGGTAATTCGATCAAGTTTAATATTTGTCTTCTCTAATTACACTTAGCACTAATTAAGGCATGCATCCTGCTTGTCTTCCTTGTCCATCAACTATATTAAGTTTCACCTTTGCTTTATTATCACAACAAGTTATACAATACAATCGCGATGGTTCTGGACGTGTTTGGATCCTAGCTACTTGGGTGACTTGCTTTGTAACCATTTGAATTTCAAATATATTAAATTGTTACGTTTCTAGAATGTTAAAAGCTTAATATGCATAATATACAAATCTTAAAATGTCAGAGGAGCAGCCCAGCACCGGCGACCCGGCGGGGAGTAAAGCATGAAGGAGGCGCCGCCGCCGGCTGGCCAGTCTGGTAAGCAGAGAGGTGCGGCCGTAGCGCCGCTGTCATTTGGCGTGCACACGAGGAAAAAGCATATATTGGCTTCAAGGAAAAGTTAAGTTCAATCCAATTTGATACCTTCTTCTGTTCAGCTCAGCTGCTTTGCTTTGTGAATTAATCTACTCCTCCGTGGAAAAGGAAAAGAAGCTGCTTTGCTTTGCTTGCTTGCTCCATCGATGGGAATGGGATGCTTTGCTTTGCTTGCTTCTCCATCTGATGCTTTACCCACCTCCGGCTGACAACGAGTACCCTGTGTGGCATTACTTCCCAAATCCCAATCCCTTCAGGCTCCAGGTCTTCCCCAGCACCGCCATCGCCCCTGCCGCCACCGTCCGCTGGTATTTGTCGCCACCGACTGCTGTGCCGTGCAGTGCATCCCATCATTCTCAAAGGTTGGTGACGTTGTGCTGTCCTTGAGGTAGTTAGTTAGTGTTCAAGTTTTTTTCCTTGTCTCTGTCTGCTACTTAAAACTCACCTCAATTGTTTCCTCTAATTGTAATCACAGCTAGCGGAAGGAAAGCAAGTTGACCAATGGCGATGGTGTTGGATGCTTTTGCATCCTACATCGGGGACTACCTCAAGCAGGTGGTACAAGATGAGCTCGGAACGATGCTGGGCGTCTCGGGCGAGATCGACAAGTTGGGCAACAAGCTCCAAGACCTCAAGAACTTCCTCGCTGACGCCGATAGGAGAAACATCACCGACGAGGCCGTCCAAGTCTGGGTGGGTCAGCTCAAGCGCGCCATGTATGAAGCTGCTGATATCCTTGATCTCTGCCAGCTCAAGGCCATGGAGCGTGGGTCATCCTCCTCAGATGCATTGTGTTGCAATCCCTTGCTTTTCTGCATGAGGAATCCCTTCCATGCTCGTGAGATCGGCACCCGCATCAAGGCGCTCAACAAGAGGCTCGACTCCATCAAGGAGCGGAGCGCTACTTTCAACTTCATCAATCTTGGGTCCTATGCAGATTGTCATAGCAGCAATGTCAACATCTTTTCTCATGGCAATCCCCGTTGGGAGACATCTGGGGAGCTTGACCGGTCTAGTGTGGTTGGGGACAAGATCGAAGAAGACACAAGAGCATTGGTGGCCCAGATCACAAGCTGTGGAAATGACGTCAGCAACAACATTATGGTGGTCGCTATTGTAGGTGTTGGTGGGATTGGCAAGACCACCCTCGCCCAGAAGGTCTTCAATGACGAGGCCATCCAAGGTGACTTCAGCAAAAAGATATGGTTGAGTGTCAACCAAAACTTTAGTGAGGTTGAGCTGCTGAGAAGAGCCATCATTGAAGTCAGAGGAGATGCTCGGCCAGTTGGAAATGCAAAGACCACGCTTCAACGAACCCTCAAGGAAGCTTTGATTGGCCACAAGACCTTCTTGATAATGGATGATGTTTGGAACTATAGAGCATGGGAGGATGTGCTCAAAACGCCGTTAGTCAATGCCGCTGCTGCAGGCAGCCGCGTCCTCATCACCACTAGAGATGAAGGTGTAGCCCGAGGGGTGTCAGCTATATGGCCATACCACCACATTGACACATTAGCAACCGACGATGCTTGGTTATTGCTAAAGACGCAGGTCAGTATGCAATTAAACATCAATATCTTTATCAAGCAAATAATCTATCTATATCTACTTACAAATAGTATAAAGTAGTTGTTTTAGGGAAACGTTAGGATGCTTCCAAATTAATCAGGTGTGGTTTCAGTGGCTTATGTGTACTACTACCTTAAGAGGCTGTCAATAATTTCACAGGGCTAATATTGCTTTGCTAGTGCCAACAAATCATTGTGCTAAACAAGGAATATATCACTACGTAATTTTGTCAACAATGTTTGATCTAGTACGTGATATGCATTTTTGGTGACGGGTAGATCGATAACTTCATGTGACCGTAAAATAAGGAAGATAAAAAATAATATGTGATTTTACTAAATCTGAGTGCAAGTTTCTATAACAATGATAACAGTACTGCAAAAATATATTTCTAGAAATACATTCATTTTTGTGAAATAGAGGAAAGGAAGAATTTTTTTTCTAGGTATGAAGTAAATTTTTAAAAGCGCTAGGTGTTGATTATGTGTTTGGCCACCGCCTTACTCTTTTATGACCAAAGCACACGTATGTACGAGCCTGGCAAATATTCGTATGTACGAGCAAGATAGGTAAATGCATTTATGACATTTTTTGATATGTGCATTCTGTGATTTGAATATTTACATTGTCAAATCTACCTTGATAAATGGACAGATAAATCAATTAGTACTCTTGTCTGTTAGGACGTAAATTTGAGTGCCTTAAAGGAGCTTGGTACATAGTTAATTAACTCTAGCGGTCCCTTGTATTGCATCGTTGCAGGTACTCTCAAGTGAGATAAATGAAAACCACATAGATACGCTAAAGGATATTGGACTCAAAATTATACAAAAATGTGGTTATTTACCACTTGCCCTCAAAGTAATGGGAGGACTCTTGCGTGAAAGAGGAGGGCTACGTCGCGACTGGCAGCATGTTTTGGATGATTCGAAATGGTCAAGAACTAAAATGCCTGATGAGCTTAACTATGCAGTTTACTTAAGTTATGAATATATGCCCTCTTACCTAAAGCAGTGCTTTCTGTACTACTCTCTTCTTCCTAAAAGTAGAATTTTTACTATGGATGAAGTTGTTGGAATGTGGATTAGTGAAGGATTTATTCATGGAAATTCTAATGATTTAGAAGAATTGGGAGCACATTACTACAAGGAGTTGGTATCTAGAAACCTGATAGAGCCAGATAAATCATATGTTAATTTATGGGTTTGCAACATGCATGATGTTGTTCGCTCATTTGCTCAGTATATGACTAAAGATGAAGCACTCATAGCTCAAGACGGAGATAATGATATTCTTGCTAAACTTGGTTCACAAAAGTTTCTTCGGTTGTTCATAGAAACTAACCGATCACAATCAGATGAACTTGATTGGAAATCTCTACAAGCACAACAATCAGTGAGAACATTGATCTCAACTATCCAGATTAAGATGAAGCCTGGTGGTTCCTTGGTTAATTTTTCTAGTTTGCGGACTCTGCATATTGAATTTAAAAATATGGCTGTATTGGTTGAATCATTGCATCAACTCAAGCATCTGAGGTATCTAGCACTAGTAAATGCTGATATATATGTACTTCCAGGGAACATTGGCAAAATGAAACTGTTGCAATTCCTTGACCTTGGTGGATGTACAAAATTGGTGAATCTTCCTGATAGCATTGTGAAGCTTTGCCAGCTGAGGTTACTTTCACTTCCCGAAGCAAGTATGGTACCTAGAGGGTTTAGTGGTCTGACAAATATGAGGAGACTATATATGTTTCGAGCCCACATGGATGGTGATTGGAGCAGTTTGGACGAGTTGGGGCCTCTTTCCCAACTCAGAGTTCTTGTATTAACTGAATTAGAGAATGTATCTGCTTCCTCGTTTGCTGCTAATGCTAGGCTCGACGAGAAGACGCATCTTATCAAGCTATTCCTGGGCTGCACCAGTAAACTGGGAGATGATGGGTTGGTCAAAGAGAAGGAAGGTGTCTCCGAGGAAGAGCAGCAACAAATTGAGAAGGTTTTTGATAAGCTCTACCCTCCACCTGGTGTAGAATTTCTTCAAATCAATGGGTATTTTGGTTGGCAACTCCCGAACTGGATGATATCCACATCAATGGTACCCCTCAACAACTTGAAGACTATATTCTTATATGATCTGGCTTGTTGCACACAACTTCCCAATGGGTTGTGCCAGCTCCCCAATCTGCAGTTCCTACAGGTCTCTCGTGCTCCGTGCATCAAACATGTGAGGACTGGATTTGTGCAGGCGGCAACAGCTTCATTTTCAAGGTTAAACAAATTAAGCTTGTTCAACATGGTGGAATGGGAGGAGTGGGAGTGGGAGGAGCAAGTACAAGCCATGCCCCGTTTGGAGGAGCTTGTGCTCAATAATTGCAGACTGAGGCATGTTCCTCCAGGCCTTGCCTCCAATGCAAGCTCTTTAAAAATATTATTTCTAGAACATGTCAAGCAGCTCAGCTACATTGAGAGCTTTCCTTCTGTTGTTGAGCTTACAGTGAATGGATGCCCTGACCTGGAGAGGATCACCAATATCCCCAATCTGCAGAAGCTTAACATCCAGAACTGCCAAAAGTTGAAGGTGTTGGAGCGTATCGCTTCACTCGAGAGGCTTCTCCTGGAGGATTACACCATGGAAAAACTGCCGGAATACATGCGAGACATAAAGCCAAGGTATTTGCAGTTATTTTGCAGGCTATGGTTGCTCTATGTGGTAGCCGCCGGACAATCTGGCACTGAGTGGGACAAGTTCAGCCGAGTGGAGCATGTCAAGGCGTATGCACCTGATGGAGACAACCAAAGAAAATGGTACGTTTTGTACACGAGAGGTGACAACTGCAAGCTGGATTCAAATATTAGCAGCTCTACCATATTTGAAGGTACAGAAAATCAAACAAACATACAAGCTTTGTCTTTATTTGTTTGAGCACTCTTTAGGCCAGTTTAGAAGTTCATTTGATTTTATCTCCTGCTTTTCGTCCGTATATATTGCATGATGACCGGATATATTCTACCTTCCTAGTGCATGTTGCCAAGTATTTGTCTTCTTACTTGTTCTTCTAGGTTTTCTTGAGTTTAACAGATATAGATTATCATGTAACCAGTTTTGTATTTTTCGTGCCATGCAGAAACCTTATCATCTTCTATGGTGGATGCACAAGAATTTGAATCTCTGTTCAAAATGAGAAGAAGCACCTTCATTTATGTCTGCAGCTTGGTGAAGATCCCATTTTTCGAAGATATGATGGCAAGGGAGCCCACCTTTGTCGATGGGGGAGTGTTGTCTTTACAAGACAGAGTGGTTGTCTCTCTGAGAATGTTGAACTCTGGTGACTCTCCGGTTACCGTAGGATTCTCTCTTGGTGTGAATGAGTCAACTGTCTCGCTGGTAACTCAGGTGTTTGTTGAGGCTATATGGGAGCGAGCATTGCACCACATCAGCTGGCCTGGCTCTGCTCAAATGGAGAAGATGAAGCGCAAGTTCGACAAGATACACGGCTTGCCAAGCTGTTGTGGCATTGTACAAACAGCTCACATCACATTTGGATCACCAAGTGGTGACCATGAGGAGAATGACAGCATGCTAATGCAAGCCGTGGTTGATCCAGATATGAGGTTCAGAGACATTTTGTTGGGGCCGTCAGGTAGCATGAACCAATTGAGCGTTTTGCACGACTCTTGGCTCTTCAAGTCCTGCCAGGAGGGTACTGTGCTGAATGGCAGTAAGATGAATTTATCAGATGGCTTGGATGTTGGGGAATACATAATTGGTGATGCAAGATACCCTCTCCTCCCCTGGCTTCTCACACCTTATCACCTCGAAGACAAGGACCTCCTCTCTGCAGATTTTCCTCCTTATCAAGCCGAGTTCAACAGGAGACACGCTGCAGCATCAACCATCATGACTGCTGTGCTTGCGAGGTTGAAAGACACTTGGAGGATCCTGGACAGAGGGGTTGGTTCATGTCCACCTTTCAAAACAATCTATGCCTGCTGCATGTTGCATAATATAGTGATAGACATGGAGGAGGAGGACGAGGAAATTGCAGGGCTGGAGGAGGAGGAGGAGGTGCGGCAGATAGCGGACGAGGACGCTGTCAGGGTGAGGGACGTACTGGCCAAGCACTTGATTGAATCTAGAGGTAAATCAGCACGGATGTTAATATGTTTGTTCGCACTCTAGCTTTGTCTCTTTATCTCCTTTTGCAATTCTTTGTTATTTGAGATCAACATGCTAATTTCACTTCACCTGCTTGGCTGCAGAGGAGGAAAAAGAAGCAGCAGCAGTAATTGCATCCAGTTCAGGAGATCAAAACATCCAGTTCCGACCACAGACAGCAGCGGATCGGGGAAAGGAGAAAGTGCATGATAGATAGCTAGCTAGCTTTGGAGGTGAGATCAGATCGTCCTTTGCACTGAATCAATTTGGTACTCTACTGTTTTTTTCTCTGCTATATTATTAATCGTGCTTCAAGTCGCAGTTAAGTTACTTGATCGGAAAGAGAGTAGTGAGCTGATAATACACCTGTTGGCAAAGAAACTACACTTATCGATACAACTGGTTAGCAATATGCTACGTAAAACACATTGCATAGTAACTGACCGGCTGTATAACTTTTGAGTGTTGAGTATGCATGCACAGTCATATATTTCTACTAGTATCTCATCCACTTTAAATTTTGATGTGAGCAGGCTTGTAGACGGGTCTTCAAATCAAATCAAATCAAATCGCCGACAGAGGAAGGGATGCGGCTACACCATGAATTGGAAGTTGGATCAGCAAATTTATTTCTTTGGTTTTTCTTGTCGTCCATATATTTGGTAAAGACAAGTGATGTGTATTTTCAGGAGAGAACAGTTAGTAGTGTACCTGCATGGAGACTGCAGAGCACTTGTGTTTTTGTTTATATCCTTTGAGTTGATTGCTGTAACCTGATGAAAGAATTTGTAAACAGAATGTTTTTTTTGTTCCATTCGCGCTCCGCACGGTGAGCTCGCTTTATATCATCTGCCGTTTAACAGGGGTGGACGGCTCTGCTCTACAAGGTTAATGTGTTTTTTACCTAGTTATTATACGATGGTGTTTTCTCTATCACGACATATGCCCTGTTTCACCACTACATCTTTACCTACCAATAAAGAATGCATTTCTTCCGCCGGATTCACCGTTACGGCATTTTTACAGAATAGTCCTTGTATTGTTTATTAAACATGGACACACAGAGATCGAGCAGTTCCCATGATGTTCGTGAGAACTCAAAGCCGGCCAGCCCACCTATCTGGCCCAAGGAAGCCAGCCCATATAACTGGCACAAGGCAAGGCAAAAAAGTTATACTGGTTTGTGGAATTAATTGAACTCACGAGTAGGTCGCACAATTACAGTCAAAGCCAACTAAGCTAACTCAACGTTTTGTTCACAAAAGGTTATTTCTTCTTTTAAATATTCCCACCTCGCCTACTTACATGCAATCTTATATCTTATATTTACTAATTGAAGGCACCATACGAGGCTCCATGTTAATCCCAGAGAAACAACAGTAATAACCGTAGGATTGTTAAATATACGACTAGGATGGAAAGAATCTATACTAGCAGTCCTATGAGATTTATACGGTGCAAATAAAACGTGTCAACATAGACAGGTTGCTCAAAACCTAGACACGTTATCTCCAACTACCAAGAAAAAACAATTATAAAAGGCCCCACACCAACACGTCTCCATTAATTATCCAGATTTGCTTGATGGTACTACTGAGTAAGTAGATTTAAACTAGAGAGGTTATCTCCAGCCACCATGAAAAAGCAATAAAAAACATGCCATGCCAACACGTACGTCTCCATAGATTGACCGGACTGGCATGGTGGTGCTATGTAACTAGCAAGTAAATTTACCAGGAATCGTACAAGGGAATTGACATGCGTATGAATGCCGGATTCGGTCATAGTACAAGATGTATATGTACAAGTGACACATGATTGATATTTTTTTTCCTTTTTTTGCACAAACGACG